TATATGTAATGGTGTTCGGATGGAATACATTACTTTGGTCTGCACAAGGATGTCCACAATTTATGATGCCCTTGTAGAAACAAAATTACGATCGTGACAATTTGCGAGTTTTGAGTTTATTATAGGCCAACACGCTTTTACATATAGACAGGGTTGTTCAGGTTCGCTTCCCAGACCCTTCAGAAGATCATCCATCAAATAACATAAGTAAATAGTCTCAAGTAAGCAGCTTTAATCTCAACCCCCAAGCCCCTTTGACTAGACCGTGTCCGGAAAGAGCCTAAAGTAGTAGACGTAAGACCGAGTGCGCCCAGTGTTCAAGTGTTTGCCAACACTGTCGAGCCTCCACATTTATTAGATTTAGAGTAAACCTCTGAAATTGTCAAATGAAGAGGTGAGTATAATATTCCAGTACAGGAGATTGTGCGATGTTCTGTATTAGTCCCTTCACCGTGAAAGGGATTTATGATGAGTGGCCATGGAAAGATTAATAAGATTCATTCATAGCCTTTCTAACATTACGTTTTTGTCTGATAATAACGTAGATCAATGGAATTTTAAGAATCGAAGATGCTTATTTGCTTTCCAAGATGGCTTCTGTTGATATAGTTGTTGTTTTTTCAGTTCAAATATACATATAACAAATTCAGATGCCGCGTAGAAAGACCAAGTAACACCTAGCAAATCCAAATACGACGTCATAATAAGTGGTAATACAACAATAGCAAGTTCAAAATATAAACATAGAAGTCTCAAATGTAACACATAACAAATTCAAATGCCACATAGCAATTTCAAATGTAAATATTATACTTAAACTGGAGAAAAAGAAGGCTAAAAGTATAAGAAGTGTATAAAAGCAAGAAGTAAAAGGGTTTGGAGTTTTTGTTCCATCAACTGGGCAAGCGTTACCACCCTTTGTTGGTGAATCTGCTGAGTGATCATTTAATTTAGTCTCTTGCCACAGCGAACAGATGTTTCAAATCGTATTACCAAAAAACAATTTTTTAATGGTGAAATGATATAGGCCTATATAATAGGTTTAAGGTCCTATCAACACTATTAGGTTATTTAAGAGGCAGGACCTCAGAGAACAACGTCTATCTCCGAAAGGACCGATCCAAACGGGAAATTCGTGTAAAGTGCCTTTCCCAAGGACACAACGCAGGACAGAACTGAGGCTCGAACCCCGAACCCGATTATCATGATTACAGGTCCGGTAGCCTAACAGCTATGCTACTCACGCCACTAAATCGTATTCCCAAATTAAGAAACGTTGTCACAGATGGACAAGGTAAGCCGGTGACCACCTCGAGTCTGTTTAATGAAACGAAACTGTTAAATGAAGCAATAAATAAATAAATAAATAAATAAATAAATAAATAAATAAATAATAAATAAATAAATAAATAAT